GTTCGACGCCGTCGGCGGATTTAACGAAGTGAGCCTGCCGGTCGATTTAAACGACATAGATCTTTGTCTGCGGCTCGCGTCGAGAGGGTGGAAGACACTCTATACGCCTGCGGCCCTGCTTATACACAAGGAGTCGGCAAGCCGGGGGCGAAGCACAGACAACGCGGCACGGTATCCGAAAGAGACCGCGTACTTTCAATCGGCCTGGGGGGATGTCATTCATGACGATCCCTTCTTCAATCCGGCATTGTCCCTCAACGCGCAACGCACGGCATTGGGTTAGCAGGCAGGCAAAGCTTTCCCGATGGCTTGGTGTCAGCCTGGTCTTGTAGAGTAAATGCCGAGAGTATTGTGGTGCCAGTTTTCAGGCGGGAGTTCGTCTTTGGTCGTGATCAGACAACTGAAGGTCTTGCTGCTGGTGCCGTTGATTCTAGGTTGGTCGGCCGGCTGCACATGGTTGCCCAAGGCGGGGCCGACCCGGGATGAGATTCAGACGGCTGCGAAGGCGGACTCCAGCGGAAAGGTGAACTTCGCCCTCGTCGATGTCAGCCCCGCCTTGGTTGCCGTCCTGGAACGGTCGTCCGAAACCTCTCTGCAGGGAAGCTTCGGCAATTCGGGCGCTGCGACCGACAGCCGAATTGGTCAAGGCGACCAAGTTCAGATCGTGCTGTGGGAGTCCAATTCCGGCGGATTGTTCTCGCCATCCCAGTCGACGATGGGAGGTGCGGCGCCGACCGGTGCTCGGTCGGTCATCATTCCGGAGCAGGCCGTAGGGGAAGACGGCGCTGTTACCGTGCCATATGCGGATGCGGGTACGGCCCCGCTCAGCAACCGGATCCGGGTTGCAGGATTGACGCCTCGGCAGGTCGAAGCCGCGATCGTAAATCGCCTCAAGGGAAGGGCGATCGATGCGCAGGCCGTCGTGACCATCACGAAAAACAACTCGAACACTGTCAGCGTTCTGGGAGAGGTCACCCAGGGTGCGCGAATCCCCGTGAGGCGCGGGGACAGGATCCTAGACGTCATAGCGACGGCGGGAGGTACGAAGGCACCGGCGCATGAGGTGTTCCTGACTTTGATGCGGGATGGCCGGGCCGTGCGCGTCCCGATGCAGGCAATCATGAGCAGCCCAAAGGAAAACATATCCGTCGCGTCGGGGGACGTTATCACGGTGGCGCGCGACGCCCAGACGTTCACGGCTGTGGGTGCAACTGGAATGAACAACGTCATAGCGTTCGACGCGCTTGGGTTCAGTCTGGAGCAGGCCATCGGAAAAGCCGGCGGGCTCAACGACCAGCGCGCTGATCCAGGCGGGGTATTCCTGATACGCTTCGAGCAGCCAGACGTGTACGATCAGTTCGGCTATGCACGGCCCGTCGAGGACGCCGAGGTTCGAGGACGGGTTCCCGTGATCTATCGGCTTGATTTCCGCGATGCCAGGTCTTTCTTCCTGGCGAGCAGATTTCCGATGCGGCACAAGGATATCCTGTATGTAGCCAATTCTCATTCAGTCGAGATTTCCAAGGTCGGCGGAATTGTTTCCACCTTTCTCATTCCAGTCGGAACAATTGTCGCGGTAGGGGCGATTTCGCGGCAATAGCGCACGGGCGTCAGGGCTCCAGCTAAGCAGGGGCGGGATATCCAATGTCTTCATTTAGAGCGTTATCGTATGCCATCGCCGGCTTTATCGCCGGTATTAGGCATAACCTTCAGCTCCTGTTTGTCATCCATCCCATTGAACTCATCCAAAGAAGCCTGCATCACCTGAACCCGCGCCTGTATTCGGAGCGTCTGCGCATCCGGCGTGTCAGCGAGGGTCGACTTCGCCGGGAGCACAAGCGCTTCGTCCTGTTCGTTTTCTACGGCCGCGAGAGCATTCCGGCCTTTACGCAGACGGTGATCGATGCGATCGCCCGGCGGGGTCTCAACCTCGTGATCTCGACCAACGCGAAGATTACGGCGGGCCTGCGGGAGGCACTTCTGGAGAAGTCCTGCCTGCTCATAGAGAGAGCGGATCTCGGCCGGGACTTCGGGGGCTACAAGGACGGTATCAGCATCATCGAGAAGCGGTTTGGCGTGCCTGACCGCCTCATCCTGCTGAACGACAGCCTCTTCTTCTTCAACGAAGGACTGGACCGCCTGATCGAAGCTCTCGATGGCGACGACGATCTGATCGGCATGTGCGAGGACTTCTATCATTACTACCATATCCAGTCCTTCGCGGTGTCTTTCAGCAAGAAGGTCCTGAAGCACGCGCGTCTGCGGCGGTACTGGCGCAAGTTCCGCCCCGTGAGTACGCGACGTTGGGCGATCGGCAAGGGCGAGCGGGGACTTACGAGGCAGTTGCTGCGTGCCGGTTTCAAGCCCCGGATAATCTATTCGGCTGCACAACTGGTCCCCCATCTCAGGAGGGGAACGTTCGCCCAGTTGTTGGATGCAATCGCCTTGCTTCCTGCTGACGGGAGGGCACAGTTCTTGTCGCCGCTGGAGCAATTGCGGGCTTCAAAGATCTCCATGCCGTTCCCGATGCTGGACTCCCTCTCAAAGAGCTTACGGCAAATCGAGAAGGCGACAATCAATGACGAGGAGGGACTTCGCAAAACCAGCATCCACGATATACTCGCCATCAACCAGAACACTCT